ACCACAGTTGACTACGTGAGAGTCCAGCGACATAGCCATTACGCTAACTGCTGGTCCCAAGACAGGCTGTTTTCTGGCACTCTCTACTCCTTCCAGCCCTTGCAGAACTCGTTATGGAGCAGGTGAGGTGACCAGCGCCTGCTGCTTTTTCCAGTGAGCGCTAAGCACTGACCTGCGAGCTCTCCACAGCCCGGACATGCAACACGTGTCACTCACGCCGACCAATACATGCGTGACTAGGCGGGCCAACAAGCCCTAGAGAATATGGCTTGAGGGGTACTTCCGGAGTAGAAGCAGGAACACTTTCATATAAACATCAAAGGCAGGTCCTTGCTAGCCCGGTGATGTGACAGTGTCCTCTAGAGGTTGTCCTCCTGAAAGGAGACGTGACAACGGGCTACGAGGGGATGCCTCTGTACTGTCACGTGAGGATGGGCCTGTTACAGAGGCCACAGTCCTGGGCTCAGCTCTGACTCCTTCACCCCAGACAAGATGCAGACCGTCGATGGGTCAGTGCAAGCGGCCCCTGTCCCACGGGAGCCTCCACTCACCTCCGTACACCTCCGACGTGGAGGCCAGGAGCAGGCGGGCACCGACGCGTTTCGCCAGCCCTGCAGAGAGTAGAGAGGCCATGAGAGACACTGCCCCCTGCACACACCCGCATGCCGTCTGGCCGACGTCAGCAACGGTTCAGGATTACAGACGATCCGTGGAATGATCTACTCGTACTGCTTTGGAACCAAAATAACAACAGCAGCAATAAATTGGAAAGCACGAAAGGATCCTCGGGAGGGTAGATACAGCTCCAGGCAGAGCCACGGTGCAGCACCTGCTGGTTTGAAAAGGTGCGACTGGAGTGTATTTATAGAGTCCTCGCACACCAAATCACCCCACGTCGGCCAGGTAACTACGCAGGTAGCAGTCGCAGGTCTTTTCACCCTGACCTCCACCGTGGCCCACCCGCATCCTGAACGTGCCCTGGATCTCTGGACTGTGCGCTGGCACCTCCGGCCCCACACCCCTTCTGTAGGCCTCCTTCATGGTTCAGCTGAAACAGCACCTTCTCCAGCGCCTCTGCTAGTCACACTCAGAACCCTTCCCGAACGTGCCCTCAGGTGGACAGACGAGAATGCCACTATCTACGGTGGTCAGGTAGGTGCGGGGAGTCCTCTGAACTCTTTCAGAACCCATTGTTTGACGCTCCGAGGACCCCACTCAACTTTACATAGGCCCAGGCTTCCCAGTCGCATCCCACCTCGAGCATGACCACACTAGAGGACAGCAGTGTTGGACCTGACTGATGCCTGGGGTCCAAGAGCCCAGCTCTGTGCATGGAGCAGGGGTCTATCACCCCCGGCACCTGGCCCTGTGCGCAGAGCAGGTGCCTGCTGCCGTGAACAGGCTGGGAGTGAGAGACAAGATGTGCACATGCAGCCTGGGGCACCTCAGGGGAGCCGGGTGGGACTGAAGGGCCCTGGTGTGAGGGGACCAGCGTGCAAGCATGTCTGAGCGCCGGGCGGAGGGATGCAGGCAGCCACGGAAACGCAGGTCAGGAGCGGAAAACTGGGTGCCAAAAAGGCCAGGGATTGGGGCCCGACTGTGCCAGCTCCACAGAATGCTGGAGGGAAACAAGGCCAACGGGATGCCGTGTAAGACGGAGTTCACAGGCTGCGACCTCACAGCTCCTCCACCACTCCAGCTGCAACCTGCGGTCTGAGAGCTGGTTCACGCCCCCATGCAGAGACGACACAGTGACCTGAAGCTCAGGGACTGGCCATCTTTTTGCTTTAACTACCTTTGAGATACCCGTACATGCAGATTTCAGTTGCACTATGGAGAGAGCTCGTGGAGCTTTCACCCGGTTTCTCTCAATGGTTAAACAAACCCCCCGTAGAACCGGAGTACAAGGTCACGGCCAGGAAAGTGGCCCTGGTACAGTCAATGAGGGTCTCCACCAATACAGAGCGCACCACCGACACCACGCTACCCAGCACTCCGGTCTCCGCCCTGCCCTCCTGCTCCCCTAGTTCCTAGCAACCAGGAATCCATTCTCTGTTCCTATAATTTTTTTCATTTTAAGAATGATATGGGACTAGCTAGTGGTGTGGTGATTAAGACAGCTGAATGTCACATAGTCCACTGTATGGTTCAAGTCCTGGACCTGGTGGCTTGGAAGAACATGCCGGGTACTTGTGTACCCCAAATTCAAAGAGAATGAAGAAGGGACTAAGGTATAACCATCCCTCTCGAGGGTGTTCTCCCTCTCGCGCTCTCTCTCTCTGTCTCTCTCTCTCTGTCTCTCTGGTGAGCACACATGCCCTATAGCAAATTCTTAAAAAATGAGTACTGAACTTCAAGCAGTTTGTGGAAAATGAAAGTAAAAGATAAAAATGAATAATATAGACTCTACCTGCCAGCATACGCTCCATCGAGTTTAAGACACCTTTGTAAGAGAGAATACCAGCCGGGAGTCCATCCCTAAAGAACTGAGGGTTGTAGTCCATCCCTGAAGAACTGAGGGTCCCGGGAATTAAACCACGTTAATGCAGTCTATTTGATATTACTGACTGAAGAAAAAGGAGGGCCCAGTAAAGATTTTTTAGGATTAGGAAACAAAAAGAAGTCAGAAGGAGTCCAATCAGGACTGTAATGTGGAGGCCTCCTGAGTTCCCATCGAAACTCTCACAAAATTGCCCTTGTTTGACGAGAGGAGTGAGCAGGAGGGCCGTCCAAGTGCAAGAGGACTCTGGGGAAGCTTTCCCTGGCATTTTCCTCCGAAAGCTTCGGCTGTCTCAACACACTCTAAAGCGGATGTTATCATTCTATGGCCTTCAGG